ATTCTGCCACTTTTTGTCTTGGTTCTCTTGCAAGTAACTCCCTATTTCAGGTCAGCTTAGAATGCCAGGACTTCTTTTGCTTTTTGAATGGGAATTTGTGAAGAGGGTGGACTTCATCCTGGGTAAAACTCCACGATATCATCTGTCAGTGATCTTAGAAGATCTTGAATGTTCAAGTATCTCTTTCCTCAGCCTTTCTGTACAATTATGACTCAATAATGTTCTTTTCAGTTCTAGAGAGCAGATACAAAATATGCTTCCTCTTCTTGATTAAAATCTATCCTTCATTAAAAGCTACTTCTCTTCATTTTTTGCCTGCATTTTGATGACAGCACTTCAGATTCTTTGCAGGTCTGTGCTGCCTGAGAGTGTTCCCTGCTAGAACACTTCTCTCCCCCAGTTAGATGGTGGCAGAAGCTTTGAAGAATAAAGCTGTTTATTGGATAAGGAGGAAATGTGGATGAGGTGACAGTAATTTTATATTTAAGCAGGTAACATTTTGTAGTGCAAAAAATTTGAGTTAACCCCCTGCCCTTTCTTTTTTCCTTTTTTTTTTTTTTTTTTTTTTTTTTTTTTTTTTTTTTTTTTTTTTTTTTTTTTTTTTTTTTTTTTTTAACTGGAAAGTTAATTTGTTTTTTGTGGGAGGGAGATTAGTGCAAATCTGAAGTCCCTGAGATTGATAGCTTGTAATGTGGATTTCATTAACCTTGCTCAGGATAATTTCTGTGAAGTTGAGCGTTGAAAACTCTGATGGGAACGTTGTCTACATGTGCATCTGTTGCTTTATGTTGTTTAAAAATGTTTGAATGTTTTCAAATCTCCCTGTATATGGAATTTAAATCTATATCAATGTCACATACCAGGTAAATCTTAATTTTCATTGTTCTGGAAAATTGAGATTCCTCAAAAAAAATATTTTAATGATCTCTAGGGTTTCTTTCAGGCTTGAAAATTGAATAATCTCAGGATAATTCATAAAATATTGAGTGTTATAGGGGTAAATTTTTGCTCTTGCTTTATAACCTCTTCATCCATACAACCAGGACTATTCATGTTTTATTTACAGGCTGGTAAATAATAGACATTTTGTTTAATCTGAATGTTTATTTAAAGTGAAAAAAAAAAAAAAGGATTGTTTATAACCCAGAGAAGAGCATCATTCTTATATTAGAAAATGATTCTCTCAAATAAAATGCTAGTCCAGATTTCTGCAAATTAGAATTTAATTCTCTTGATTTTTCAGTTCCCATAATATTCTTTAACACACACACAAACAGCCTCTTCATTCTCTCTTTTTACCTTGTTTCCTAAGTTAGGAAATAATTTATCCCCACTCAGTGACCTGTGAGGGGTGTTCATAAAATACAAAGATTTAGGTTTTTTTTAGGATTGACTGGCTAGTTTTTCAAATAATAAATGCAATACATATTTTTGCTAACCACTTCTCACAAAAGAAGGGCTTGCTTTTGGAATAATAACATTTTAGAGTTGGCATTTCCTGAACAAAATATCTGGAAAACATCGTGATCTTTGACAGCTTTGAAAAGAAAAATTTTAGTATTATAGTTCCAGATACAAAAGGAAATTAATGAAAGTAAATGGTAAAAGGTAAAAATGAAGGTTAGAAGTTTTTTTTCTGGAAAACCAGTAAAACTGAAAAAAAAAACCCCATTTATTAACAAAGTGTTTTATTTTAGGCTTATATATGTTGGCAATTATTTCAAACAAATTTTTTTCTTTGACTCTATAAAAGAGCTGTTTTAAAACCTTTCGTATTTTGTTGCTGACCTGAAGTAGTTAAACTTTGTAAGCAGATACAAAATCCACCCAAAATATTCAGTTTTTTCCTTCTCTCTTCCTTCCCACCTTGACGTGGTATAGTCAGTAACTAGGAGTCCTCGTTCTAAATTAATCCACTTTTATCCCAGTGCTGGTTTTCTTCAAGATGATCATCTTTTCCTTTCTTTCTTTCTTTTCATTTTTTTCTTTTTTCATTTTTCCCTCGAAAGGCGAAGGGTGTTGGCGATTTCTGATGGAATTGAGCACATTGGGAATCTGCGCTGGGAACTCGCCCTGTGCCTCCTCGCTGCTTGGACTATCTGCTACTTTTGCATTTGGAAAGGGACCAAGTCTACTGGAAAGGTGAGGGGAAAATCCTGAAGATTATATGATTCTTGTTCTCCAAGCCTGTGTTGTCCCTCATGATTAAATCTGAATAATTTACTAATTTAAATAGTCATTTAATAATCAGAATGGGAACAGTGGAATTCCACACACATTGCTGTGAGCAACTATACTTGGGAGTGTATAAATTGTAAAATTAATCGTAATCAACAATCAGTCATGTGTTTTAGATTGTTTTGTTTCTCTTGCTTTCGTGATTTGCTTTTCCCCTAATTCTGTCAGGTGAGGCTGTTTGGTTTGGTTTTAATTTATTAGGTGGCATTACTGGCCAGCCCTTGAAGCCTGAAATCAGCACTGGGCCCTGTTGATTTCTGTGCACAATGTGTGTAAAATTTGAATTCTTCTCCAAACTGACAGGAGTTCAAACTCTCAGTCTCACAAAAGAGTCACACAAGGGAGTTTCAACACGGAGGGAGTTTAGAAACACAAATGGAACATCGAAAGGAGAAATAATGAAAGCGCTCAAAGGCAGATAAAGATGGACACATTATGGGGGAAAAAAGAAGAGCATTTAGTACTTTTTGAGTGAATGCCATTCAGTGCTGGACACCCAACAGAGAGACACTGGTTCACAGCCTCAGCCAGTCATGGGATGATGGAGAGGTTGCCCCTGGAGTAGAATCAGACAGAGCTCTGAGTAGAATCTATGAATAATCAACTGCATACACGAAAAAGAGACACAGTTCTGGAGGGAGGATCTAAAAAAAGCACTGTTTCCTCATGTGGGAACCAAAGGGTACAAGGAAAAAGCTTAATGGATTGCAACATTCTGTACATTTAATTTTCAATTGTGGGTTAGTTTGGAAGGCGTGGTTGGATTCTTTTTTGTTTCTGTTTCAGCGGCCCACGTTTGTAAATTTGAAACTGTTTGAAACGTAGTGGGTTTTTTTTAATTTAGAAAATGCCAGAGAGAAACTTTTCAGCTTTGTCAGCCACACACACATATCTTTCATACTACCAGAATTTTGGCTGAAACTAATTGCTGGGTTCTGTCTGTATTTGCCAACTGTGTCAGTCAATCTGGTACTGCCTTTTGCACGCACAGATTTCTGCAGCCCACTTTTATCAAGTCACTGCAGGAAAAATGCTGAGAAAGACTGTCTAGGGATATGCACGAGCATGAATAGTTTAGAGGAGAGAGGGGGAAAGATCCTAAAGAGAGGAATATAACAAAGTAAAAGTGATATAAGGGAATGGCAAGATAAATGTCCACATGTCTTTGAAGTGTGGGCTCCAGGGAGGGAGAGGAGTGCTTGGGACTTCTCTGAGGAGCTGCAGCCTGGCAGGGAGGAAAGAAAACTGAGCCAAACTGATTTTTTTCTTAATTTTTTTTTTTTCCTATCAGCAAGGATGTCTGAAGATGGAGGTCTATTCTTCCATAGTATAATCTGACCCAGGGGTGCAGGGAAAAACACGGCGTGTGGCTGCACACGCAAGGCTGGGCAGAGCTGCTCTGTGCTCCAAACAGGAGCAGGGGTAGAGCTCCTTTGCTGACAGGAAGAGGCTGTAGTGATTTTAAAAATATATATATATATTTTACATTCAGAATTTTATTGTTAACGCATGAGATTCTTTCCGTCTGTGTCGTATCCTCAGAAATAGGTCTCGGGTCTTGGAATTAGTTAACTTGTTTGACATTTTTATTTTTCCCTTTTTATTTTTTCTGGTTTTCTTTTTCTGATAGCTTAGCTAAAACCTCAGCCCAGTGGTAGGTGGAATAAATTGTATTTGGTTTCATTTCAGTATGATTTTGATAACCATCTTTCTGATGAGATCAGGAGAAATAGCCTGAGAAAGAGATGTGTCTTGAAGCTTTTCAAATAAGCAGAAAAAAAACATAGTCTTGCTTCAGAAGTGCAGAGAAAATGGAATTAATATCCAGTGTTCAGCTTTAGAGGCATCAGGCTTAAAAAATTTAGATGAGGGCTCTGTAAGAGGTAGACCCATCACATATTTGCACTCTTTAAATCAGTTTGACATGAGCAGCAGTTCTGTTTCCAAGATCCTGAGGAATCAGACTGGTGGATTCCCACATTCCTTGGGATGCACTGTGGTATTCACCAGTCTGCCTGTGCAGAGGGTCCATGGCTGCTCAAGAAATATGCAGTGAGGAGCTTTCAGAGCCAATATTGACCATTTCTTTTTCCAGTTTACTGTTTAGATGTATTTAAGAATTTTAATGTTTTTGCCACTTATTACAGCCAACATTACTGGAAATCTGTGCCACATCACTGCCCTCCCAGCCCAGCTAGACAGAGACAGCAATCAGGTGTTGAGGATGCTACAGAGGAATTAAATGTTCCAAAGTATAAATAATGGAGCGGATTTCTGGGCTGCAGTTTCCATTTCTGATATATTGGCATTTCTGAAATTCATATTTAAACTCATCTAATCATGGGCCTTCCCATTAAATTGAATTAATTACGTGCTCATTTCCAGGAAACATTTAAAATTGACTCCTGGGTTTTTTATTATAATGATAAAAGTGGGTTTAGACCAGTCTGTTAAATTAATGATATACTTTTATTGGATTGAATAATTTCAATGAAACAACAAATTTATTCAAAGCATACTCAAGGTTTTATGACCTTTGGAAACATTTTTAAAGGAAGGTGTCTGTGGGACAGAATAGAGAGAAAGAGGACAAGGGAAACAGAAGGGAAATGGAGAAGGTGAGAGAGAGATTCATCTTCACACAGTTGTGCTCTCTGAAATATTCAAGAGGTGGATTTACTTTTTCTACTTTTTTTACTCTGCATCCTAACACATGGAGGAAAAAAAAACCCCAAGCCTTAAAAGCTTTCATAAAATAAACCCATCCTTTTCCAACCAGCACTATCACAAACCTCATCTCCTCAGACTATCAATATTTAATATTTTAAGATATTTAATATGTTAAATGTAACACAAAGTTGAACTCCAACTGAAGTGCTTATGACACTCCTAACAAGGTGTTCCAAACTTTGCCATTACTGTTCTTGAAATTCAGTACTTTCTCACAGAGCACTTCAGCTTTTACATTCCAACAGATGTGGAATATCAGAATCATTTCAGGTGAATCTGGCAGCTTTCTGGTGAAATGTATTTGCACCTTTTCAGAAGTTTTTGCCCTTAAATATTCAGTCTCAATTATTTGTATGCTGCCTTTCACACCGAAAATGTTGCACAAATGCAAAAGGCAGATTCTTTGAATGAGAAAATCAAATTCAGAGGAGAAAAACACGACAATGTAAAGTTATCGTAATGTCATGTGTGTGTTGCAACTTGCCAAGCTTGTCGCTTTCTGAGATCCATCTTCTGGAGAAGTGTTTTCAGTAACTGCAATCAAATGCTTGCAAAGCTGAGGAAAGGGTTATGCAGAAGACAGAAGGAAGTTAATTTGCTAAAGGTTTAAATTATCATCCCAGTCTGTCATTGACGATCCACTTATTAATTTCTTTAAATGTCCTTGTGCTTTAAACCTTGAGAGAGGACTACCAGAAGCTGGTAATGTATTTTTCCTAAATTGCTTACTGAAGGAGGTAATTCTAATACTTTCTTTTTTTTTTTTTTTCCTTTTTATTTTCATGAGAGTTTGAGAGTTTTTTCAGACAGTGATCATTCCACTGAGCTTATAATCACACCTCACTTTTAGCAACTCCTGCCCAATTCCTTTTGACCTGAGGAGTCAGCTGGACTCAGAAAGGCATTTTAAGTCTGTCTTATTCACCAGTCCATTCCTTTCTTGCTCAAGCATCTAGGTTACTTTTTGGATGCATCAACACATCCCTGTTTTCTGCTGATATTGAAAGCCTGTCAGGGACCTGCATTTATAGAATCACTAAATTGTGCAAGTGGAGAGGGATCTTGGAATGCTATTTGTCCAACTTCTTGGGCAGAGAAGGTTCAACCCTGAACCTGAAACATTCATCTTAGTGCTTGACTTAAAAACCTCCAACTTCAGAGATTTCTCATGTCTTGGGGCAACCTCTTCCAATGCTTAATTTCCCTCAAGGTCCAAGTCATTAATCGCTTCTTGTGGGTTCATTCCACTATTGAATATTGTTACTGAATTATCTTCTTTTTTTAATACCTCATTATATTTCTCTTATTCACTCCAGATCAACCCCCGTTTTTGTATCATCTGTGCCACTACAGAACATGGGTTTGAGCGTCTCTAATTATTGATGCCCACAAACTGACTTGGAAATACTCCTCTATTAACAAGGCAAATGAATAGACTCAGGGAAAAAAAAATAATCCAGGTTTTTTTTCCTAGACAGCATCACTGTCCTACTCCTGAATGGGAATGACAGCTAATCAGTATTAGGTGTGTCACACAGACAGGGGACAACTGATCAAAACTGCTCATGTCTTTATATTCTCAAAGCCTGATGTGTTTCAGCTCAGCGCTGTCTAAAGGAGCAGTACTTCCACCTGCTCTGTAGATGAGGAAGGGTTGAATCAAAAGAGTTAAAAAGGAACCCACAGTCTTGCTATAATTTTCAAGTTATGGATATTAGAACATTTTACCTCATCCACAGCATCTTAATGTCTGTTTTAAAATTGTAGATTGTTTTTTGTCATTTTATGCCTCAGCGCAAAGTCAGCATATTCTGATTTGAAGTGTTAAAAGAACATTGTCTGTACTGTCGGGATTTTATTTAGGATAAGAGTATCAGACTGCTTGTATGACCACTAAGACCAATACTCATGTAATTTTGGGGCCTTTTTGAATGAGTTCTCATCAGTATCAGAAGGATAATCCCATACCAGAGCTAATCATAAATAGTTCTTCCACGTTGTTTTGTACTTGCCCACTGGTTGCTGGCCAATATGTGATGAGAAATCCTCCCCACATTATGCAGGATCATCTTAAACAAGGGAAAAATCTCATAGGGAACCATTCCTCCAATTTTTCTGGAACTAATCTACGTCCCACAGAGACAGACTTCAGTAATTACTGAATATTATTCTATTTTGATTCTGAATCTTTAGATCCTTTCTTACTCTTGGTGTTAAGTTCCCTGAAGTTCAAAGGAAACAAAGAAAACATCCCTGTGTTTGAGACTCACTCAAAAACTTTTTAGGATTAGGATCAGCTTACTCAATGGAAAGCTGTGTGAAGTAGTAAGAAAATCAGATTTATGAAAAAAATAAAAATAAAAGAAAGGAAAATACCCAAGCCATAATACAAGTGAATAGTTTTTTTCAGTCCAGACTAGAAATAATGCTGAAATCCTTCCAAGACCTCTTTTTCAACGTGATGAAGTCTCCAAGAAAGCGCAAAAAACCTCCAGAGTTCAAGCATGTCATCACACAGGTGATGTGTGTATCAGAACGTTTTAAAAGAATTTAGAGCCCTTTCTTCACCACCTATAGAAGCTTCATTTTGCAGCAAATGGCATTCCAATTGTTGACAGTTAAATTTAAGGAACTGAAAATAAAAGTGGGGTGGTTTATTTTTCTATTGACTAACTTGCAATAAAGTCATCACCTCTGTTATTATAAAAAAGGGAAAAAAAAAAAACCAAATCATGGTGCTCAAAAGAGTAATTTTCCATTTGAGAATTCATCCTGCTATTAGAGAGTGTAAACTTTACGATGTCTCTCCACTTGATATACTTTCAAACTCCCATGGGGAGCAAGAGGCTGAGAAATCCAGAGGGTGCTGCTGAAAGGTGAGAGCAGGAATGTTGAATAGACCCCTGCAAAAAGCTGGGGATGTTGCTCTGAAAAAAAATCATGATTTTTATAGCTCATAAGCAACCTTGAAGACATCTTGCACTCTGTCTCGTGAAGCTTCTGACATTAATATGGTTCTGTCTGGCACTTCCTACCCCTTTTCACTCCGTAGCTTCTCCCTCGACCAGAGGGCACTGCTGGAAGGTCTCACCATGCTCACATCTCTGCAAGTGCTACTTGAGAAAAGGCACTGACACAGCTCCTTTCTCTGCATAAACATGAGTTGCCTAAGATTCTTGATTAAATAGCAAGTCAAAAGCTAAAATAATAGATTAATGATTGCACAGGATCTCCTCATGAAACATTTATGGCTTTTCTCCTAATTGATCAGTGGAGAGCCTCATGTTATCTGTTGCATCTCTAAAAAGGATACTGTGCAGCTTGCAGTTCATCACTGGAAACTACTAGGAATGACCTTGTGAGCTTTCTTGGTGTTGTAGTTGTTGTATATAAATGGAAAAGGATGAGGTGGTCTGATGTTTTACTTGTCACTTCCATTATTCATTGAAGTATTTCACTTCTACTATGACACCAGTGGAAAAATGACAAACACCTCAGGAAAGCAGAGGACTTTCTTCTCTCAAAAGAGCAGCAGCGCTGCTTTACCTACCACAACTAAGCAGGATATTGGGTTGAATACGTGCAAGTGATGGCATAATTTCTTATTTAACTCTTATGCTATTGATTCTTTTATTTTTCCTGTGGCTGTGCAGACAGGACCCTGTCTCATTCTAAATGTGACCTTTGCAAACTTGGTTAGGTTCCATATGCACTTCCAGATGTTCCCTGGTTTGAGTATTTTATTGAAACTCTACATGCAAAACTTAGATGAGAGTCTGGGAGAGGCCACTGAGGTGAATTTAAAGCTGTGATCAGTATGAGGGTTTTAAGATGTACTTTGTGAGGGAGCTGGGGTTGTTCAACCTGGAGAAAAGGAGGGTTAGGGTGGACCTTCTGTTCTCTCCAACTCCCTGACAGGAGGGTGGAACCAGGGATCGAGGGACAGGACAAGAGGAAACAGCCTCAAGCAGTGCCAGGAGAGGTTTACATTAAATATCAGGGAAAATTTTTTCACCAAAAGGGTGATGAAGCACTGGAACAGGCTGGGCAGGGAGGTGGTGGAATCACCACCCCTGGAAGTGTTCAGAAGGATGTGGCACTTGGGGATGTGGTTTAGGGGTGAACACAGCAGTGCTGGTCGATGGTTGGACTCAGTTTTTGGAGGTCTTTCCCAACCTTAGTGATTCTATGGCACTAGGACATGAATGTTGTAACTGTTGTCCTTTTTGAAGTTCCTCACTTAATTGTTTCCACTGAGCAGTTTGATTGGCTGAGCTGAATGCACTGAAGGGCCACTTGAGTGTCAAGACATCTTTTTGTAAGTCTGTATTAAATAGATGTGTTAAAAACCTAGAGATAACAGAAAAAAGGTAAGGTACAGCCTGTTTGGCTGGGGCATCTTGACATAAACCTAATAATAATGACAGAAAAAGGGCTTGGTAGGGAGTTTTGACATTATTGTTAATCTGTCAATGGGGTGGGCAGGAACAGTCACCGAAATCTGTACCATTTGTAATGAATAAATGAGATAGCCATCACAACATACTAATAGATACCTATTTCACACCCACATCTTAGCAAGGTTTAACTAAAGGTGCAGGGCCCGGGGTTTTTTAATTCTGCAGTGATTCTGAAGGCTTCCTGTCCCAGGTTGTAGTTCTGAAAGGCCTGAATAATTCAATATAAAATAGACACCTGAGCTGCTGGAAGTTTATTCCAACAAATCAAACTCTGCACTAGGTATTACCAGGAAAAAAAAAAATAAAGCTGCAACTGTATTTAACTATTGGTTACATTTTATTTTGCATTTTTGTGCTGAGGAAAATCCCCAGAATTTATGTGAACAATTTTAAAATGCAGAATATAAGCTCTCAGGCTCTGGCTGGCTGAGTGCAGGGTCATGTCTCGATACTGAACCCCACATCTTTCCCCCTTAATTTGTTTTTATGGTCCTGCTCCCTCCTCCACCTGCATTTTCACTGCAGGAGAGTGTGGGATGGTTTATGGATGTTTCACTGTCCATCCCCCAGACAACTTCATTATCCAGACATTACTAACAGCAAATTATTTTCACACACACACACGCCACACCCCCACAGCTTATATTTCTTTTTATTTTGTGGATGATTTATACAGTTCTGAGAAGTTCAAGATTTGAAGGTTTCCTCCTTTGTTTCCAAACTTTAGCTTTTTGTTCTAGTTCTGGGGCAAACTGCAGTGCACTCAGTTTGAATCCAGCTTTAGTGCCTTTAAAATAATCTATCATGCTATTGGCAGACCTGAATAGTGCTTATATTTCTGACAGTGGGTAATTTTGTAGTAATTGAGAGGACCCAATTTTACGTCTCTTCCATAGCAGTGCCTCCCTCTCGATGTCAGAGTGTCTTCTAATTTACAATTGTGCAAAAAACAGGACTGGCATGTGGACTAAACCAAGAAAAAGAACTGAAGAGAGTATATTGATCTGCTTGAAAGTATGAGCAGAAAGGGAATTCAGTGTATCAAGACTAATGCAGGAAAGAAGTGGGAAAACTGTTTTCCTTGAGCTGATGACCTGCAAGGTATTCAAGACCCCAAATTCAGAGATAGACTCTTCCTACCTTTTGCCCATCATTTTCTCTGCCCTCCCCTCAGGAGTTAAGCTCTGCTTGCCAGCAGTTAAGACTCAGTCACTAGTCCCAAATAAAATTTATTTCTCAGTAGCGGGCTATGTAAAGGTCTTAATGGATTCAATGAGGCAGAAGGAAGGAGTAAAAGGACAGAAGCAGAAAAAATAAGAGAAAGATGTGTGGAAGGAAAAAAAAAAGAAAAAAAAAAGAAAGAAAAAAAAGGACTAGGGCCCATTGTAGGAGCCCAGGAAAAGGAACTGGGCAGCAACGATTGTATCTCCTGAAGTGTCTTTTGTTTTAGCCTGAAGTAACAGCAAAGAATAGCCCTTCACGGAGAGGCTTTAACACTCTGTCCAAGACTGATCTCTGTATTCAAAGGGGGAAAGTAGAACATTCATGAGATGCATGCAGAGTTCCTGCTCTCCTCCTCCTCTGTGTGAGGTTTGAAAACTATTTTTTCCTCCACTCTCCTGTGCTCTGAGCATTTAAGGACATCTTGGATTTGTATAAAAAAAAAAAAAAAAGATGTTTGTGCCTCTCTATGGTTTTACCAAATTTGTGTTTGACAGCTAGGGAAAGTATCACATGTGAAGCTCAAATCAAAATCATGCTTTCGTGGTCTCGTTTCTTCCCAGTTGCACCTTAGCAGCAGAGATCCACTTTTATATGAATGTTTAGACTGGATCTAAGCCCTGGCCCACAGCTGAAGCGAGTCCAAAGTGTGTCTCAGTGCACTGAAGGACAGTTCAGGGCACGTGCAGATGGGAGAGTTATTGGACGGAGAAATCACCTGGTCTGTCAACCTAGTGTATGAAAATGAAGGGGGGGAGGAGGAAGGGGGCAGAGGTTGGAAGTCCAGCTGTGATATTTGCAGTGGTAATGCAATGAAATTTGCTGCAAAATTGAAGAGGAAGCCAAAAGACACAGATTAACATCGAGGTGTCTCTATAGGAGAAATGCATTGGTTGGCTGCAAGCAACAAATACAGGTTATTTTTTCCATCAGGTTATTTTTTCCATTGAGGTTACCGGGCATTCTTAGCCCATTATGAAAAAACTAAATACACTGACCCAACAAAGAGATTTTAGAAATATGATAGTTGCAGTCATTTTTACCTCTTCAGCCTCCTAATGGTTGTTTTCTCCTTCCATGGAACTTGCCCTTCCTTGTCAACTCTCTTCCCCCAGCCCAGTAATCAGTGAAGGATTCCATCCAGCAGAACGCAGACCAGGAGCCAAAACAGAAGTTGTTCTGTTTATTGGGATCACTGGTGATGCACGTGTGTCAGGGCTCATTATTCCTTCAGGTGCTCCCAGCTATGATTTACAACTGCTGTGGTTTTTTATGAAGCTGTGTTTCACAAAACTGTGTGATTGCCCCTGTCCTGGTCTCTTTATGTGTGCACAGAGGATATTGCTTTTGTTGAATTTTAATTTAATGTGTTTGAAATATTACTTGCACTTTGTGCTCTAGCTGAAGATATCTCCTTGGTCCCCCAACTGCAATACAGAAACGGGAACGTTGGTGTCCATTTGTAGCTCTGACTCTCTCAATGCTGCTTCAACTGCATGTTTTTTCAGCTGAAGTGGAATAGATATAATCCCTTACTCTCACACAGGCAGTTTGTCCTCAGCTGCTACTAATGTGTGTAGCTTCAAGAGTGGCTCATTGTTTGCAGTTTGCAAAGCAGCTGTAGGTGTCCATCCCCATGGCACTGGATGCCAAGGTTTATCTTATATCACATTTCTGCCAGTAGGAAGGTGGTCTCTTTGGTTTCTGCAATCAGCACAGGCCAGATTTTTGGCTTTACCTACAATGTGAAGATGTCTTTGTAGTACAAGTTGTGGTTACAAGGCTGTCTTTGGGAGATTTACAAACTCTGATTCTGTATCCCACCCCAGTGTCAGCTCACGGGGAGTGAATCCAAACTCACTGTTACGAATGGAGAGCTTAATGAAATAAATTGCCACACGAGCAACAAAGGCAGCTCCAGGCGGCTGCTGGTGCTGTGCTGGTAACTAAAACACACCCCCAGGAGTGAGTTGGCTGCCTTGCACCTGCTATTCACTTCTGCTGCTGAGCAACTGAAACACTTAGGCGGTTAAAAAAGAGAAGAAAAAACTCAAAACATCCTGTGTAAGCTCACAGAAAGTAGACCCTT